AAGATATAGAAAATTGGAATAGACCTAAATTAAGAAAAGAAAATTAGTAATCGAAAATCTTTCTACCAATAAAAGCCCAGCCCAGATGGCTTTCTGGTGAATTCCATCAAACTTTCAAGGAAGAAATAATATCAACCCAACCTTACACAAACTTTGTCAGAAAATAGAGGGAGAGGAAATACTTTCCAACTCATTTTATAAGACCAGTATTATCCTAATATAAAAGCCAGACAAAAATACACATGAAAAGAGAAACTACAGAAAACTCCCCCCAAACAAGTTAAAAGATTCTTAACAAAATATAAGCAAACAGAGCCTAACAACATGCCAAAAGAATTACACACCGTGACCAAGTGGGTTATCCCAGGAATGCAAAATCAGTTTAACATCTAAAAATCATGTAATATAAAACATTATGTTAATAAAGGACAAAAATTACACAATCATCTATCTCAATAGCTGCAGAAAAACATTTTATGGAAGTCAAGATACATTACTAAGATTCCCAATGAAGAATGAAGGGAATTTTCTCAACCCAAAAAAAAGGCATATAAAAAGATCTACACCTAAAATCATACCTAATGGTGAAAGACTAATGATTTTTTCCTAAAACTAGCAATGAGACAAGGATGTCTGCTCATAAACCCTCTGGGTAATGTGATCAACATCACACCGGAGGTTCTAGTTAGTGTAGTAAGGTAAGGAAAGGAATCCAAGGCATACAAACTGGAAAAGAGGAAATAAAACCTTACTACCAGATGATGTAATAATCTATGCAGGAAATCTTAAAGAATTTATAAAAAGCCTGCAGAACTAAGTGGTGCAACAGGGGTGCACTGTACAAAAAAAAAAAAAAGACAAATGTGCTTCCATATATTAGCGACAAACAATCTGAAAATGACATTAAGAAAATTCCATTCACAATAACATAAAAAAGAATTAAACAACTAGGAATAAGTTTAAGAAAAGAATGACAAGATCTGTACATTGAAAACTATAAACCACTGATGAAAGAAATTAGAGGAGATTCAAAAACATGAAACAGTATATCGTATTTATGAAATGAGAGATTCAATGATAAGTTGGCAATTCTCCACAGTAGTAATACCTCAGCAGACCTTTTACTGACAAAAAAATTAAAAAGTCAATCTTAAAATTTATATGGAAATGCAAAGGACCTAGAAGAGCCAAAATAATTTTGAAAAAGGAGAAAAAAGTTGAAGGAGTCACACTACCTGATTTCAAAATATAACAAAGCTGAAGTAATCTATTAAGTGTGATGTGACCACAGGATAGACACATAGATCAAAGGAACAGACACTAGCAATGAACCCTCACACTCATGCTCATTCGTTTTTGACAAAAGCACCAAGACAATCCAAGGGAAAGTATAGTTTTTTTCAACAAATGGTGCTAGAACACTTGGGAATTGATATGCTACAAAATACAGTTATCCCTTACCCAAAACTATGGACAAAAATCACCTTAAAATGGCTCATAGATCAAAATGTAAGATCTAAAATGATACAACTTCTAGAAGAGAGAAGGCAAAACTTTGTGACCTTGGTTAGGCAAAGATTTCTTAGATATAACACCAAAAGAATGATCCATAGGTGAAAACACTGATATAATGGACCTCATCAGAATTAAAATCTTTTATACCTCAAAATGAGCCATTAGGAAAATGAAAAGACAAGCTGTAGACTGGAAGAAAATATTTGCAAATCATATATCTCATCAAAGATTTGTAATCAGAATATATAAAGAACTTTCACAACTTAAGACAGACAGATAAATATACAAATGGGCAAAATATTGAATAGACATGTCACCAAAGAAGACATGAGAATGCTAATAAACACACAAAAACATGAAAAAATTAAATAAAACACAAATAGGTATCATTAAACAGTCACTAGAATGGCTGTAATCAAGAAAGACTGACTATACCAAGTATGTATACAATGAACTGGAAACCTCAGATATTGCTAGTGGGAATGTAACATAATATAGCCATTATGAAAAGCATTCCGGCAGTTTTGTAAAAATTTAAATTTGTACTTATCATATAACCCAATAGTACCACTCCTAGGATCTGCTAAAAAAAATTGAAAATACATGCACACACAAACACTTCTATCCAAATGTTCATAGTGAAGTTACTCATAAGTGCCCAAAAGTGAAAACAACCCAGATGTCCATCCACCAGTGAATGGTTAAAAATGGACGGCTATCTGTACAATGGAATATGACTGAGCAATAAAAGGAAACTGACAATCATGTGCCAACATGGGCGTATCTGAACAGCATTACATTACATAAAAGGCTACACACTGTATAATTTCACTTATCAAAAGTCCAGGGAGGGAAAACTATCCAGAAAGCATATCAGTGATTATCTGGGGCTGAGAAAATTTAGGATGATGGGGATTCTAATAATTATGATTATTGTTACACAACTGTATCATTTAAGCAAAACTTATCGAAGAATACACTTACAAGCAGTGAATTTTATGGTATGTAAATTATACCACAATGGTGTGAGTTAAAAAATGAAATACACCCTAGATATTTAACAAAGGTATTTAGAGTAAGAATATGAATGCATAATATCTCCCATTTATAGTAAACATACAACACACATTCTTTTATGTGCTAGTTAAGACTACAGAATTTCTTGAAGTATATATACAAAAAACATGCTTGCCTCTGGGTAAACGACAAAAAGAATGGGGCAATAGAGGGAATTATTTTTCATTGTATACCTTCTGACACTATTTGCTTTAAAAAATTAAACCATGCATATCATTACTTTAGAAATCAAAAAATCCTAGTAAATAATTGAAAACAACCAACCATGATCCTGATGTAAGGACCCAGGCATAGGATCTGCTCTTGAAGATCTATGCATACCTGAATGAGGCCAGAAGCACATATGAGTAGCCTGTGATAAGACAGTCAGTGAATTTCATCACAAAGATATGGTGTTACTTCTTATTAATTCAGAGAGATGAATGCAAATTGTGGTAATTTAGGGAAACACAAGACTACAAGTACCTTAGGCATCACAGGGCACCATACTCCACAATTCTCCACTAGCCACAAAATAAAAATGAACTCCTCATCCCCAAATACAAACAAAATGCAAACACACCTTTGAATACTTGAGGATCAAATGAGAGGTTGAGGACATAGTGGGAAAAACAAGCAAGAACAGGGTGTGTATATATATACATATATATATGTAAATGAATTCAAAATATTTTTTTCTGCTATGTCGTGCCTTTAAAAGAAGTCATTATATATGTGCCCAGACTTGTTTCTATGAACTGTACTGTGGCTACTGCGCTGTAATTTTCAGTATAGCTTTTCATATCAAGAATCTGTTACACAGATTTGATTTTTCCATTGATATTACGAAGATATGCCTATTTCATTAAGAATACTTGTTATAATCTTAAATAAACAATGGGATAAATTAAAATACATTGTCAATATTTAATTATAAAAGTTCAAATGCTATTTTGTAGCAATGCTTTTTATTAGAAGGTCATTTATTAGACCAATGCCTTTATAAGAAGGTCAAGTTTCAGACTTCGGTATCATACTAATTTCCTTTTTAACATAGGAACTTAATACTTTGTAGAGGTGTGCTTACAGATACTCAGTATTTTGTGTTCATTTTCACGCAAGGAATCAATAACATAAGTACTTCCTTGAAGGGGAAGTACCTGCAGAGAGGGCCAAATAAATCACAAAAGGTGCTTCATTCAGCTTTGCTCGCTTTCACTGGCATTTCAAGCTGACAGAGCTTCTGTGCCCCTTTAGTGCTTTGAATAGACAATCACATGTTTGCCACACATGTGTTCTTCATGCCCGAGTTCCTCACTGTACTGCTCGTTCTGACCCATCCCTGCTCTAGCTTCGATCCTAATTTAGACATTTAATGAGCACCTATCGTGGGGCCACTGGAGTCTAAGAGCTCTGCTGTCAGGGGAGGTAGTGTTCTCAGCCCAGTGTGAAGGAGGAGGCTTGTGAGGGTCACCGGCTTTAGGTGTCCTAAGTCCCCAAACTGGTAAGGGCAAAGCCAGGACTTAGACTGAGCCCTTACCTTTACACTCTTTTCAAGTAGCCTCTCTGTCCTCTGTATCTGGCCCTTCCCTCCTTTCTCTCCCTAGATTCACTGACAGTCCAGAGCAAAGAGGCAGAGGAATGGTGCCGGGTGGGGGTCTGCTGAAGCCTCATCCCCTCCCCACAGAGAAGGAAGAAGGGAAGAAACATCCAGGGCTCAGCGCTCTACCACACTCCTCACTGTGCCAATTTCTATTCTTCCTCTAGAACACCCGCCCAGGACTTCAGCCCTAACCCCATCCCATCCCTCTCTTCCCAGGTTGCCGAGGGCCCTAGGGGTGAGCATCACTGTAGGGCCTCTGCAGCAGTGGAGGAAGTGTCCTGAGCAGCCCTATACACAACGCGGAGTAGATTTTTCTGCAGCGACACAGCTCCCAGTGGTCCTTATGGGGATTAACAAGACTATACTTGAGCTCGGAAGGGGTTGAACCAGCTTCCACCTGCTAGCCTGGAATCCTAAGCACGATTCAGAGGATTGCTTCCATTGGAAAATATCAGGTATCTTAATTAAGTCAACGGGGAGCCAGTTTGAGGTCTGTACAACCAATTCATTAATGAACATTTGGAAAATGACACACTCATGCTTTGGTATTCAGTTGTTGCCCTCCAAGTTCATAGCGATATAAATTTGTAAGACTGAAGCACTGTATTTATTGTGTTTAATATAAAACGGGAGAAGATATATTCCCAAAATTAAAAAAACTCAGCTTCCTTCCTGAACTCATATTTTTCTTTCTTAGTCTTTTACCTTTAATTTTTTACAGCACGATTTCATTCAACACCAGAGAAACTCCCATTTTTATGATACCACTGTAAAGGTCCTACTATTTTAACTGCATATTTTATTGCTGAGCCAGTGTTTATCTTACCTCCTCGATGGATAATCAAAGAAGTCTCACTTCCAATGGGACAGTCCTTAAGTATATCCACTACTTCTGTATGGCTCAGGTTCTGTACATTCTGCTGGTTGATCTCAACAATGAGGTCACCTTCACACAGGCCAGGGCATCCCTGAATGTCAAGTATTTGTTTCACCCGCTGTCCTGTAGGACTGTCGGCAATAGTGAAGCCAAAGCCCTGGGCACCTTTCACAATGGTTAAGGTCATAAGTTCAGCTTGGGTGGCCCCAGATGAAGCCATAGATACATTGTCGTCATGGACAGGTGGTGGATACGTGCCATCAAGCTGACCGTCCGCTGGTATTGAGTGCAAAGAATGAGGTGGCCGGTCTGTTATATCTGGAACTGACTGTGAGGTCCGAGAAATGTATTCCAAGTACGTTTCATAGTTATGTCTTCCATTCACCATTACTGGAGGTGGCCTCTCCATTATTGCAAGGGGCGGCACCATGCTGTTAGCGGGATCTTCAGGATCAAAGGGCAAAGGGTAGCCACGACACAACACGAGGTTGACACTCTGACCAATAGGAACAGACTGGAAAAGTTTGACTACATCTGCATGAGTGTGTCCAAGGACACAAACTTCATTAATATAGACAATGACATCACCTGCAAGGAAAAAAGAAAGATTGACAACATGAGGTAAGTTCAATTAACGTTGACATAGAAAAAATGGAATTATTTATGAGACTAGTAAAGAGGTACTCTGTTTCTCAGTAAGCAGAGAGAAAATAAATTAGAATTAGTATTTAAATTCACTGTAGGTGACTCAAGGTTAAAACAGGTCTGCCAAGAAATATAATGATTGAATGCTGGAAAAAAGAGTGCCATTTGGTTATTCTTGGAGTTCAGAAACAACTTTGTATTCAGAAAGAAATGTTCAGAATTTGTACCTTGAGGAAGCAAACATTCTATGCTCCTTTTTCATCTTCATTTCCAATGTCAGTGCAATTCAGTTAATAGAATTTTCAAACTGTTGACAGAAGTGGTGGTCATAACTTGGATGAAAAGAAAGCCCCTACATATGGATTTTTTGTTATCACTTGTCTCAGCCAAGTCCCTTTTTTCTTTTTATGGAAGAGGAAAATATTTTGCTCATTTATTTTCTCTATGTATAACGAGGCATAATTGCAAAGGTTCTGTGTATAGACAAGTAAAGGTCAAGAGCCCAGGTTCTGCAATTTGCTGAGCAATAGGATTCTGGCTCTACTACTTAGCAGATATGTGATACTGGGCAAGTGCCTTACCTGCTTTGAGCCACAGTTCCTCACTTGTGAAGTTGTTGTGAGGATAAAATGAAACAATGCAGGAGATGTGCCCACAGACAGCCTCACACATGGATAATTATTAATATTCTTATTGCTAAAATAGGATCAAGGGGATTTGGGACCCTGGCTTTCAAACAGGAAGCTGCCATATACTCATCTGATCTTAGATAAATTGTTATTTCTATAGATGTTTTCAAAAAATGTTTGCATCTTCTTTCCTCAAAGAATTATCATAGAGTTACAGAAGACCACTGGTTAACTTTATGATATTAAAAATGCCCTGAATGCAAATTATTCATTATAAAATATATTCAGAAAAAAACAATACTTCCTCATCAAAATGCAGGAAAACATGTTTGTTTGAGATAATAGTTTAAAAAATTCAATGATGTATAAATAATTTTATTTTTGGAAAACTATTCTATCATGGATTGATATTTTTTTCCTTAAAAATGGTAATATTTAAGAATTGAACTTCCAAATTGAGATTATGCCTGATTATGCTGAAGAGTATTTGAGGGATGAAAAGACATGTTTTCACAGATTGTCAAGCAGAATTAATTTATCAGGATAATTCTGACGTGGGTAGTATAAATGGTGAGGGACTTCATTCTGAGACATCCTTGCCCATCAGAATCTCAAACATCAAAAATAAAAAACAGAGTTGAACTTTCAGAGTTAAATACTTTTCTAGCCTCTCTTAGGTGCCTGATATGAAATGAGTTCTCCACTAATTGTACTTAAAAATAAATACTCCTATGAATAAAATACTACAGAGCAAAGTGCCCTTAACAACTTGGACCCAGTTAACACTCCTTCCCAAATGCTAAAGAGAAGCCAAACCAACATTTCAGGGATCCATGTTGGGTCTGATTCTGGAAAATGTCACAGCAGACGATGTGACTGGTCAGACGGAACTTCACTCTTCAATATGTCCATCAGAGAGGATGCTGGTGTCATGGCTGGAACATTTGACTAGGGCTCAGGGCTAAAGTGGGATGGGCATCCTCTCTCTGCCACTGTGACTCCTCATTAGACTGGGGATTCTTCATAAACTGGGGGTGCTTTGGCATATTTTCAACTTGTTCTGGTCATCCCAGAGTCCCAGAGAAGTATCTGATCCAGACAAACTTCTTCTCCTCTTGGCTTTTCAATTTTTAAAGTTATGATAATATATTTTACACATTAACAAGTTTGAAAGAATAATAAAGACTGATGTACTACCATCCAGATTAATGATTAGAACATTGCTCACATTAATTGAAGCCTCCCTGGAAAGCACCTCTCTCCTACTTGCATTCTCTTACTTCCCTTTTCAAAGGTAACCACTATTCTGCATTGAAGTTTGTTACTCACATGTACTTTACATTTTTATAATGTAGCTATACCTATAAACAATATCCCTAAACATTAATATCCTTTAAAGTGTTTTTGCATATTTTAAACATTTTGTAAATGGTATACATATTAATCATCTGTAATTTCCCTCAAAATATACTTGTGATGTTGATCTATTTTGATACCTCTACCTCTAGTTCATGAATTTTCCTTGCAACATAGTATTGGATGACTACATCACTGTTTATTAGTGATGTAATAGACATCTGGGTCCTTGTAAGTTTTTGACTATTAGAGATAACTCTACTATGAACCTCTTTCAATGGTCCTTGTGCACATACGGGAGAGTGTTTTCTGAGGTATGTGCCTTGGTTTAGACTGGCTGGCCATAAGCCTTGTGCATCTTCAGCTATGTTGGATAATAGCAAATGGCTGGCAAAATAGGTCAAACTGATTTACACCCCTATTGGTAGTAGATCTGAATTTTCATTACTCCCCATCTGACACAATACTTGTCATTCTCAGACTTATTTTTTGCTAATCTAAAGGGTGTGATCATGGCTTCAATTTACATTTCCCAGATTGCTACTGAAGGTGAGCATCTTTTCATATGCTTATTGGCCATTTCAGTGCCCTCATCTGTACATCTCATTTCCTCATTTTTCCTCTTTGGCCAGTCATTTTTTTAAATGCACTGACTATTTTTCTGCCCATCTCCATCCTTAGTCCAAAGTTTTCTGTAGGTTTGAGGGGCTGCATTGTTTAGCTGACATGGGATAGGGAGTCAAAAGACTTTGGTCTGATTTTCAGCTCCATCACTTACTAGCGGTGTGACTTTAAAAGCTAATTGAAATCCTCTGTGACTCAGACACTTTAGAAATATTAAGGAACAATAAGAATAATAACAACTTACTGTACTGTGGGAAATAACAAATGAGATAATGCAGGTGGAGCTGTAAACTGTTATGCAAAGGATGATTGCTATTTCAGTAATTATTGTTTGTCCTTGGTTATATCTTTTTATAAAATCAGTACAGTTCCACCAAGATATTCCCACCACAATCATAATCAAGGATGAGTAGGGTTTCTGAGTGGGCAAGTAAAAACCAGGAAGGTAACAAATGCTAGTTTCCTCTAAGGCTCTCCCTAACTTTAATCACTGTTAACAGATCCCCAAGTCCCCAGGCTTTATCCTTTCCTCTGCTCTGCCAGAAATTCATAGGGAAAAAAAATTAAGGGCAATGTTCAAAGCTCTCAAGGTCCCCTGCCAGGTCTAAAGAGTAGTTATTTGAATTATAGTGATTAATGCTATCTATTTTGAGTTTTAATGTGATCTCTCTCTTTAGAAACAGAATGAGAACTATTTGTGGCTCTTAATAAGATTGCCTTTTAAAATTTATGGATATTTTCCACTCAGAGCAATTTTTCAAGTCATCAAGCAAGAGATAAAGGACTGTGCAACAATATCTTTGTGGAGCTACATAGAAGATTTCTGAAAGTTAAAGATGTGTGGTCAGTTATTACAGGAAAAAAATTATCTAACAACTTGACAGTGTTCATGTGCTCACTTCAAAAAATATATAGCTGCCTAGACACTGTGTCTTGCCAAAATTGTTGTGGATGGAGATGAAAGCAAATGTTTGCTTGTTCAGGTAGAACTGATTGGGCCAGGATATTTATGGGCTGTACGGTATGAATGTCATTTACATGTTTTGAAATAAAAATATGGTCCACCTGATATAGGCCATCTATTGGTGCCCTGTCAGCTCCAGGTAGGCTGGGTTTAAGGGCATAGAAGGGGACCTCATTAGAACAATTGGCTCTAGATTTAATCCTGTTGTCCTACTTAAGAGGGAGAATTGGAAAAGAGTCACTTATCTCTCCTCTCAATTTATTCTTTTATAAAATGGGAATTAAAATATCTCCTCCATGTCCTCTTTTGCAGGGTGACTGTAAAAACACTTTTCATTTTACCAAAGAAAGCTTCTCCATAAAAATAAGATAATACATTTTTTTTGGAAGCCAAATGCACATTTTCTTTGCCATATTGCCTGCAAGATTACACTGTTTCCTTGCAGAAAGGTAGGAAGACCAACTTTTGGCCATAGTGAGGCCAAGAATTTTGGGGCTATTGACCTCTGGTCCTGTTGGTCAAATTTGGTGTGACTGATAGGCATGGTGTCCCCAGTAGAGCTGTTATCAGAGTGACCTGATTCCCACTTATGTGGTTTCAAATAGCAAGTGAAGGAGAGTCAGGCTAATGAAGCAGAAAGTTTAAATGAGAAGTTAAAGTTTGTATGAGAAAATGTTCTAAGATAATTGGTTTCTTTCCTAGTCATGGAAATCAAAGTACAATATTGGAAACCTCTTGGGTACTTTACCATTTTGGATATAATGAGGGCGCTCTTTGTAAAGCATTGCTTAAAATAAGTTATTTTTTCTACGTCTTTCCTCTGTTCCCACATTGTTTACGTCACTGTGGACTTCAGAATCTTCCTTTACAGTCTTACTTGCTGTCTCCCTGCTTTAATCACCATCTGGGACCAGACTAATTTACTTCACACTCGACCAATGAGTTCAAACTACTCAAACTTTAGATCAACTGTTTAACATTCTTTACTGACAGTCTTTCCAACTTATTTTTGTCTTCACCACTTGGTGAGTTACCATTCCTGTGAAGCTAGTGTCTTTACTGTTCACACTTTACAACTCGCTTCTTGCCTTTCAGTGGGCTTCTGCTATTCCTCTACCCTCAAGAGCATTTCCTTTCTGTGTATAACTTCATTCCAAATAATTTCTTTCTTTCCTCATCTTTTCAAAGGTATCCTTCTATTATTCCTACTCATCATTCCTGTCCCACATTTGCAACTACAAATTCTTCTCAGATCTCATTCCTTTGTGGGAATTTTGTACCTGTTCCAAATTTTCTCCACAAAATATACAGAGAACCACTACTATGTTGAGAATGCTTTAGGTATTTAGGATAAGTTTTCAATGAAAAAG